TTTCCTTGTTTCTGAAATCAAATAAATTGCTGGGTTTAGCATAAACTTATACATATGCTATTTTGTCATTTTTTTAATTAATGCATGTTTTTGTTTTGTACACATTGTACAATTTCTTTACTCTTGAAACTTTTTCCTCAAAACTGTCCTATTCTAAAAGCTATCTACTTTTCTACAACAGAGAAACATGTTTTCACCAGTAATCTTTAATGATAATAAAGACTAATGGTGTTCCTATATCAACTCTTCGAAAACAAATAGAAGCTGTCTCTCCAGTTTTATACAGATATGATATTATGAAGTTTTCAGAATTGTTTATAATAAATGTTCATCTTCAGAAGTAGTGAATGCTTAAAGCACAACCACAAGTTAGTAATTTATTCGGGTATTTTTGTATGATTTACATATGTTGCAGTTTACAAAAGTAATTCTTCAATTTCAGAGGCTGATACGTGTTATGTGACTTAAATCAACAGCAATATTGACAAATATATTAATTTGGAACATCATGGAGAGTCTCTCCACTGAAGTGGAAAAAAAGATAATTAGATGTTCAGTATCACTCTGTTAAATCTAAACCTCCACATATTAGCAGAAAGCAGGTAAATTTAACATCAAATTTAATATAATGACAATTTGTTAAGAGGCTTCAGATTGCTAAGATTTTAGGGGACATACAGCCCTAACAGCGTACCAGGTTTTTTTAATACTATATGTAGTTTTCCTCTAATGTTTTCATAAATGTGTACAAATGTTGACCTTGCATGACCTTTAGAAATTATCCAAAGCACAGTAGTTAATCAAACAGCTCAGTAATTTAACATATTATTTCCCATTATTTGCTGACTAAAGCCACTTACTATGAATAATTGTCAGAAACTAAAACTAGCACTTATATTGCCTTGGTAATTTTCATGAGGTTTGTGGACAGCATTTTAGTTACAAACAGTATACATGATACAATTGCAAGGTACATTGCCCAGGAGTATTTTGACCTGACATTCAGGAAAAGGTATTTTGTTGCTCAGTGAAAACTGTTTGATTAAAAATAATTTCTAAACTAGAAGCCTCAAAAGCACTTTCTTTCCTTGAAAGCCTTGATGTTTTGTAACAAAACCTTTATAAACAGAAATACATACTACTCCTGCTTTGGGCTTTATAATAGCTGATAACAGACAATAATACCCATATTTATGCACTCATATAGTACCAACAGATTGAAACCCATTGCATTGATTTTATTTTAAAAACAGGTTACATGTTCAGAGAATCGTTATTACCAATTCATTGACAAACTGGAAGACTTTCTTAAGAGGGGCTCCTCCAGTCTGTCCTGATAGATAATATTTATCACTTTATTAATAACTTAAATGACAGAGTATACTTGTTAAACTTGAGCATGACATTAGCCCAAGGAGAGCTAGAAGCCAGAGCTAGAAGTCCCAGTATACAGGACTAAAATTCAGAATAATCATGCTAAACTGAAGACATGATCTAGGAGAAAATTAAGATGCAATTCAAGAAGGTAAATAGTTTAGCTAGGAATAATCAACTGAGAAAATACAGGATGAGGACAAATAAAATGTAGCTATTCTTCAAAATGGTATTTTGATGGTTAGAGTCACCAAGAGCTAAAAGTGATCAGCAATAGAGTATTCTTGAATAAAAGACAACACACTGCCTTGAAGTGTAAACTAATCTCTACAGTTTATTTTTTTTATAGAGGGTACTCTACCTAAGGAATACAGAAGAACTGAAAGGAATTCAGCAGAAAATATTAACTACCAGAGGTCTAGAAAAGGTGACATAAAAGGAAGAATTAAAGAATTAGGAATCTTTCAGTTCAGAGGAGATGTAACAGAAGACAGGGAAAAACACCCAGAACTGGCATGCAAAGCAAAAGCTCACTCTGCTCATTTTGCAGGAATACTACTTGCTTGTGGCCACCAGAAGGAATCCTTTCCCAAAAGCTAGCCCGCACTTTCTACAGACTTATAGCATGCACTCCTCAGTGCCTGGGTGTTGAACGTGTTAATAAGATGGAATTTTCTTTAGTCAGTATTCCATTTTGTATCAGTCTCTTGCTTCTACAGAAACACTACACTCAGCTAACTAGTTTCACCATGATTTTACCTAGCCCAACCACACCAGACAGGTTTAACAATAAAGTAACAAATTTTCTATCATGGTTCAAGAGAAGACTTCAAGAAAAGGCTTTAAAGTTTAGCAGTACAAGGTTTGCAAACAGAACTACAAGAAAAATGCTGTATATGCAACCATAGTTTTCAGGTAAAAGCAAATACCTCAACTCTTTGTCCAGGTATACCTTTACCCCAAATCCTCAAGGTATGCATTATCTTCAAAAGCTGGTAACTTAGTTTTTAGGGTAAAAATTCATGTCCAAAAAACCCTCAGTTCCTAAATTCCTTCTCTTTTTTTATAAGAAAAACCAAACTTCCCATACTTCCATACCTTAATGGCATTTTATATGCCTCCCTTGATTCACCTGACCATTTTCATTGCTTAAGATTTCACATGCTGTAAAAGAACATCTGTTCAACACAGTTACATTTAAGCTCCTGACTTCTAACATGAGCTCAGCTTTTGATAGCAATAGCTACATACAATTTGGACATGTTATCAGAACAGAAAGCTTATTAGCAAACAAAGCATTTTGCTTCAGTATGTTATAAAAAGGCAAAATTCCACACTCCACCTCTCCGTAGCTTAAGCAGGTAAGCTTAAGCATCAAGAGTACTTTTGAGTTTAACTGAGATGCCGGTATGAAGAAAATTAACTCATGTACCTGTTTACAGAACTAAGCACTAAATCCATAGGCATCCAAATATTAAATCCATACTCAAAATCTTAAATTAGACCCTACATCACTACATTAATTCCTTCTTGCCTCTTAGTTACATCCTAGCAGTCATTTTACAAGCGATATATTCACTTTCACAAAAACACATTGAAAAATTAGTCAATGACAGTTTAGAATGACATCTTCTTTTAATGCACTACACATGCTCACTCCTACGCAAACCAAGTTTTAGCTGCCACGCTGTCAAGAAAAATGGTAATTCCCTAGTCATTTAAGGAAGTAAGAACTACAGAGCATTTTACAATAGAAAATTTTTTTATGTTTAATAAAATCTGCCATTTGCATGAAAGCCCAGAGAGATGTTACCTTTGAAGCTGACAATGAAAAAAACCCAACAACCACCACCACCAAAGAACAAAACACACAAAAGTGGGAAGCATTTCAAGTTTTATACAAGCCTATGTTTCTCTTTCCTCAGCCCTCTCTCAGCTTAATGCAATATAAAAGTCCATTAATAAAAAACTGAGCATACATAAAGTAGTCTCCAAGCAGCATTGGGTCATTAACTGTGATAGACCTTCTTAGGGAATATAACTGCATTTATTAAGAAAAGTCCCAATCTGAAAATCACCATAAGTACAGTGCCTTACCAATGTCCAATGAACAACCATAGGCATTACCTGCAGAAACAGATGTATGTTGCTCAATCTAGTCTGCTTTTGAGTGCTCCCCTAAATTTGGTTCCAAATTTGTTATATTAGTAAAAAAAACAAAACCCAAAAAGCTATACAGGCTTTTCTGATCTAATGAAATCGAGCTCGTTGCATTTAAATGTTTCCTTTGGCTTTTGCAACAAAAATTGTGGAATTACGTTGGTTCTTGAAAATTTGGAAGTAAAACAGAACCACAGCTGATAATTCTTAAGGTAGATTCTCTCTGATTTAACCAAGGGAGTTAGTGAAGAACATTCTCTATGAAAGGGACCTTGCCTTATTTGAAGTTACTGAAATCTTTTCACTCTCAGGGTAGTTTGCAATGTACAGTTCTTTGTCTAGGCTGGTAAGGAAGGGGACTTTTAAAGGTATAGAATTTTATTTGTTTGTTTTTCTTTAAGGTGGTTCAACGTTGTTTTTTCACTTTGTAGCAAAGGTACCTAGAACCTCTGCGGGGCACTCTGCTCACTTTTTATTCCTTAAATGATTTTAGAAGAACTAAACAAAAAAATACAAATCTGACTTATCGTGCTTTATATAAACTATGAGCAAAGGGGGGAAAACAAGAATTGTGAAACATTTAAAGTGGATTTAATCTCCAACAGTGTTAATGATAATCCACATATTTTACTAAAAGTTTATATTTACTCCACAAATCTTCAGTTAAAAAGCCCCAGCAAAGTGTGATTCAAAAAGAACAGCAGTGCATTTACAGTTATGTCATACAACCCAAGACATATACTGAAGTCTCAGGTATACTGCTATGCATTTCTTTCTGGTAAGATTTTGTTGTTTTCTTTTCCTAAACGAATCTAAGCTGACAGAAGGAGGCAAGCAAATTTCACAACAGACTAAAATGTGACTATTAAAGATGCCAACATTATACCTCTACGGATACTTAATCCTACCTCTCGGTAACAAATGGCAACTGAGGACGCAAGAGTGAAACAAGTTCAGTGAACTGCTGGCAGCACCGCTCCTGCCACGCGAAGGGATGCCGCAGCACCCACTGTCCACTGGCGACAGCATTGTATACCTCCCAACAAAACGCTGCACCCCCTCCCCACGCTCACCTCCCGCGGCGACCCTCTCCCGCTTCTCTCTCTTCCTCACCCCCGCTGGAAACTTTCTGCCGGAACCGCAGGCGCTGAGGTAAGGGGATCCCAGCGGCACAAACGCTACGCTTCTCAGCCCTCCCCTGCCTCCCCCCCGGCGGAAAAGCACAGCCTCAGGGAGCCCACTGAGTTTCTAGAGCACCAAGCGGGTCTTGCTGAGGTCTGTAATAAACCGATGTGCAACCCTACACCGAGGACTGCCTCCTCGCCTTCCTCCTCTGCCCTTCAGCCCTCGGCAAGCGGTGGGAGGATAACTTTTCAGACGCGACTTGCCCGCTCTCGGCACTTGAGGCGGGTCGGGACGGGGGCGAAGCGCGCACGCCTAAGGGGGAAGGCGCGCGGGGCTGTTACCTGATGTCCCCGCTCGGCTCCAGGGCAGGGCAGAGTCCCCGCGGCCCCCTTCATGCCCGAGGGACAGGCCAACCCGCCCTGAGGCACAAATCTTCATCCAGCTTCCTCCCCGCAGGCAGCGCCTCCTTCCCTCGTCCTGGCGGGGCGGGAGCCCCGGGCGCTGGGCGGGCGCCGCTCCT